CCCCCCCCCCCCTTCGGGTGAAAAATCACTTCGAGGAAAAAAAACACCAAAAGGCATTGATAAATATGCAGAAAACAAATTCGTGGCAGTAAATATGACCTTCTTTAACACTTCTGGGTTAAAAGCATACGAGTAAGAGTTAGTGTAAGGATTTATGAAACTTTACAGTACATCCGTGCTCAAGCAGTCAAAATGAGTACAACTCGAACTGAATTTGTAACGTGTATTTTTTTTTTTGTGGGTGTCTTTTGTTTTTCGTAAATTTGGTGTCAATCTCTCCCTCGCAATCAGAATTTATTTAAATATTTCGTAGATTTTGGTACTATCCAATTGATAAATATGATATGATGCTCACCTAATACTCCATTTTACAGTTTCCTTCAGTGACCACGAATGCTAGTTCCAATTCTCAAGCGAGGTTGGAGTTGCCGCGCATGATAAACTATAGCGGTTTTGCTATGCCCGAAAAAAGTACGTGAAAGATTGGTTTTCTTGATACAGTACACCCATCAAAAATATTGAATGGTGTTATCACGATGAGCGCGCGCAAGCTAAACTAATCATTGGAAAAGCGCGAGCGAACAATTGGATTAGCGTATAGGAATATGAATATACCTACAATCAATGGACTGCATCAACTTATAAGACTGCATCTGAATATGCATCCCTTTGGAACAAAGATTTTTTTCTTTACACTTACCTTTGAAATTGAGACTTCCTTTTTACCCTCGATTGTGCTATATATCACGTGGCTGGCCGTGTGTGACCAATCTCTTTCTATTGTAGTATGTTATCTTGCATGGACACGAGTTAGGGAATTTGCAAGAACGTCCTTTTTCGATTTCCTGCTTGATAAAAGTGAAGAAAAATTGCAAAATTTCACACATTCCCGCCGAGGTGCATTTAACGGTTTCCCTCTCATAAAAGGCATATTTTTAAATGATTTCTAAGAATAACTGCGTCAAAACCAATTTCCAAGTTATATTAGACTTTGAACAATAGGTTTGACTTAAAATATCGAAGGAAAAAAATCCTCGATTCCGCACACTCCACTTAAGAAAAGTCCAATCCAAGGATTTAATCCAGATTGTGATTTTCCACAATTTTGAATTGTGAGGTTAAAACTACCAAATTCTAAAAGAGCAAGCTAAATAGGTATCAATGGTGTAATTTGTTTTGGTTTTGTCGTACAAAACATGTTTTTATGAGCATCAAATGTATGAACTCTCAAGCCAAGTGTACGCCTTTACAACACACCTTCCCCTCCTTAACCAGCTGGGTGCTTAAATTAATGTTTGACAGCTAAAAATCTGTCGCTAACTATATTAGATTAAAAGATTGTCCTCCCTCCACAAAATCTCACCTTGCATTTTGAGACCCAACGCGATCTCTCTTTTAAGCTGCGCTGTGACATTCATCTTCATGTATCGATAAAATTCTAATGGCTGTCCAAGCACGATTATAGTATGGACAATCCGAATATTTCGTTACCCGGCCCCCTATCTTAGCAGCGCTCTCCTCGAATCTCAAGGTCTCCGTTTAGGCAGTCTATTGCCGTTAAAATTACAATTATGATTACGGCATGGCAACAAGTATGTGCATAACCCGAGTACTGGACTTAGTTTAATTCTCACCGGAAAGCTCGCGCGAGAGAAAAGAAATGTTCAGCTTGTTTGAGCGAACAGAAATCGAGGCCAGGACAATATATATTAGTCTGTACATTGAAATATTAACGGTTAGACTGGGTTATGACTTTTTCATGCTACAAGTGGTAGAAAGTGAAATAATATTGGCTTCCAAAACAATTTCAAAGTAAAGGCAAGACACATGCGTGGAGGACTACATCACGGGCGGAGATGGACCACATAAAATACAATAAATGTATGTAATTTGGGCTATGAAGGGGCCGTGAGACGCACTCTACGCCCGCGATGTAGTCTTTTTCTCAAAGCATTCCTTTTTATCGCCAGTCAAACCTGTTATTCTTTATCCTTCCAGTTGGTCATGTCACGAAGCAATCGCACACGAAACCGAGGTTGATGTGGATGGATTTCTAACCGCTACAGTCATTATGAACGAAAAGTTTAACAACGAGTTTGAGTAAAATGTTCTCGATAATAGCCATTTATATGTGAAGTTAAATCGATGCTTATAACTAAAGATTATAAAAGCATTTTGTAAAATAGATGCGCGGCGTGTAATCACGAAAATGAAATTGAGTTTGTTTGGAACTTGAATTCGATTGAACGCATTCAACAATTTTTTAATTAGTACAGTGAAGAGAGGAAAGCATATGAAACGTATCAACCTGTAAACCAATCGTACGCCTTTACAACACACCTTCCCCTCCCCCAAGGTACTGGGTACTACACATGGACTTTTGTGGACCAAAAATTGACGCTAACTACTCGACAGATTGAAAGTGTGTTTTCTCTCAGCAAAACTAGACGAAACATGCACGCTATAATACAATGAAATCTTTGTTTTAGCTGCTCTGTGACATTGATTGATCAGCATGGTATCGATAAAATGCTAAAGGACTACCCGAACACGATTTCTATATATGAAATGAATCATCATAATATGCTTTKACTCTAATTTTTGTTTTGCAGGGCTATCGTTGAATCTTAAGGTCATCATTAAAAAGCTAGGATATTGTCTATATACTTTTACTACCACGGAAGTACCTAGACAAGCTGAAACTAGTTTTCAACTTGTTGCATCGGATAGAAAAAATTTCCAGGACAAGAATAGTCTGTACCTTGAGTTTTTAACAGTTATACAGAATCTACTCTTTATGATTTTGTCATGGAAGATGTGTTAGGAATTGAAAATATGGCTTCCAATCGGGTTTAAAAGTTAAGGCAAGGTACATACGGCACGGGAGCACTACATCGCGGTCGGAGACGGACCCCATAAAATACAGTAAATGTATGTAATTTGGGCTGTGAGGGGGCCGTGAGACGCACTCTACGCCCGGGATGTAGTCTTTTCATCAAAGCACACCATTCTATCACAAGTCAAGCCTGTTATTCTTTATCCTTCCAGTTGTTCATATCACGAGGCAATCGTACACGAAACCGAGGTTGATGTGGATGGATTTCCGAACCGCTACAGTCATTACGGACGATGGGACTAATAACAAGTTTATAAAGAAGTTTTGGAAATTTTCTCGATAATAGCCATTTATGTCTGAAGTTAATTCGATGTTTACACGGCTTCAAATTATGATAGCATTTTGTAAAATAGGGGCGCGTAACCACAAAAAAATGTTTGGAACTAGTTTTTGATTGAACGCATTGCTGAACATTTTTATTACATTTGAACATGAGTGGGGAACTGAGGAAAGCAAGCTATGGTATCTCTATGGCCACATGCATTATAGTGTCCTATCGCGATATAGTCATAATTTAATAAAGATTCAAACAAAAAATAGCGTTAGTGTCATATGTAGGAAGGACTAAATGGCCGGCTGCTAGCATCGTCTACTAGCATCGTCTACAAGGACAATTCATTGTGGAAACTTTTGTATATTCAACCGTTAGCATAATATTGATGGTTTTCAACCATTCCCAAGAGAATTAAATAACAAAAGACACGGTGTCCATGTTGGAGGATATAATAAAAGGCCGCCGTTAAAACCATCAATAGTTAAATACCGTCTATAAGGACAATTCAAATCAGGTCAAGGGATACTCCGAGTCTTTGTTTACAAAGTTTTTCTATAAGTCGGTCCGGTCCCACAAGGCTTTGATTTATCTATTTTAGATAACCATGGAAAACGCTATTGGAGTTTTGCGGCAAGGACCACGATAACAGAACGCGAGCTTCATGATGAGAATTATCATTTTACATTTCTAGATTTTTCGTTAAGAATTCATAAAACTGATTATACTCATTTGTAAATATAAAACTGGCTCTTCAGTTCTACTAATTTGAGGCGAGGTTCAGAGTTATCTGGCCTATAAACAATCTATATATATACACTCCGGCGCGAACTGTGATTGCTCAATCGATCAGGAGTCTTATGATAAGACGAAATGCTTGCGGCGATTGTGAAATTTTCCGGAGTTTGTGAGAGCGGAAGTTGTAATGCTAAATCGTTTTTCTCATAACACCAATTTTGTTTTTTTCTATAATATTTAAGTGTATGAACAAGTGTATATCTTATGTATTATTAACTGTAGTCAGAGGAGCCATTCCTGTTAATAGTGTTTACGAACTGGAATGGCTCCTGTGAACAAGCTTATATTAAATGTTGGGACGTAAAAGAACCACTGAGGACGTAAAGAAACCCTGGCAGTGACCACCCTCAGTGCCTACACTTCATTCTAACCATCTCTCATGCTTGTAAATTGCACAAATTCAATCTGTCATTCACTCAATGTAAAGCGCCTTTGATTATGATTCATATGGAAAGAGCGCTATATAAATCATAAATCATTAGTCAGTGGAGCCATATCTGGTAATGGTACTTACGAACAGGAATGGCTCTGTCAAACAAGCTTTTATCTTACGGTTACTCACTATTGATGGTTTTCAACCATTCCCAAGAGAATTAAATGACAAAAGACAGGTCGGCCATGTTGGAGGATATAACAAAAGAATTCATTGATAATTCTTTTGTTAAGTTCCTCCAACATGGCCGCCGTGAAAACCATCAATAGTCAGGGGAGCCATTCCTGGCAATAGTGTTTACGAACAGGATTGGCTCCGGTGATTAAGCTTATATTATATGCGTTACTTAATGTAGTCAGTGGAGCCATTCCCGGCAATAGTGTTTACGAACAGGATTGGCTCCGGTGATTAAGCTTATGTTATATGCGTTACTTAATGTAGTCAGTGGAGCCATTCCTGGCAATAGTGTTTACGAACAGGATTGGCTCCGGTGATTAAGCTTATATTATATGCGTTACTTAATGTAGTCAGTGGAGCCATTCCTGGTACATGTAATAGTGTTTACGAACAGGAATTTCTCATGTGCTTATGTTTTACTCAATGTACTCAGTAAGCTCTACTAGCGGGAATGGCTCCACTGCCTACATTGAATAACACATAAGCCGAGGGGTTTCTTCGCGCATCCCTGAACCCTTAACTTCCTATAATTTTTTTTTTCGTTTTTTTTCTTTTACGACAACAGAAAAACCTAAAGGAATTTCACCTTTGTTCAGGAGCACTTCAGCTGAGAGAATCTAAAATAACTCTTAATAAAAATATATCCATTCAGTTTCCCAACGATTTTTTTGGGTTTTCTCAAGAGGATAGTTAGGAATATAGTACAATGGGAAAAGCCATAGTTTGAAGTATTATGGCCAGTGATGAAGTTATCGATGTCTTCCTTTGACTGTCAATGGACCTGGTTCGCGATAGTCGCTCATGTCACTGAGGTCACCTAAGAAAGAAAATAACGATATGAAAACCACAAAGAACGAAGAAAACATACCAGAATCAGAAATGATAAGGAAGGAAGGAAGGAAGGAAGGAAGGAAGGAAGGAAGGAAGGAAGGAAGGAAGGAAGGAAGGAAGGAAGGAAGGAAGGAAGGAAGGAAGGAAGGAAGGAAGAAAGAAAGAAACAAATAGAAGGTAAATCTATCTATTTATCTATTATCTATACGAAAAGAAAAACCGATTTTACTGACTTATTTCTCGCGATCTGTCAAGATGGTCTCTCCTTGGTCTCAGTAAATCTAAAATAATGATAATTTTTAAAGAAAAAACGTTACCATTGTAATATCAATTGACAAATCGTTCATGCTATGTTAGAAGTCAGGAACAATACAGTTGTTTTGCATGAGAAAGAATGCAATACCCAAGAGCAAAGGGATTCTATTGTTTTGCCCTCTGACCACAGGAAGCCCAAGCTGCATTAGGAACTTTAAGATTTGCAAAATCTACGACGGCGACGTCAAATGGAAGTGTAAATCATTTCTCTTTGAGGTTCTGTTCATTGGGGATTTCATTCAAAACATCGTCAGTAAAGTCAACTCATCCACAGGAAAGACAGACTTTGAAGGCGCGAAACCCCAAAGTGAAGTTATTTGCAAATCTTAAGGTCCCTATTATGTTAGATGGCAGGAACAATACAATCGTTTTACATGAGAAATAATCATATTCATGAGAGTGAAAAGATTTTATTGTTCTGCCCTCTGACCACAGGCAGTTCAAGTTGTAGTATGTGTGCCAGCACGTGGTGTAAAACCTCTATATTTTCAAAACGTGTCTTACATCCTTCTCTGGGACTTGCCCTAGGTCCAGCCTGTTGTTGTCTACTGGTTCTGGATTGTTTGTGGGATCCTTGGAGAAAATGTGCCATTATTCCATACAAAAGGGGCCTTGAATCACAAGATCATGTAATAAATATTATTAGTCTCTCTTGTAACACAAAAAGTATGTACGAGAAAGGAAGGTAAGGGAGTTGAGGATATAGGATACAGGATATAGGGAGGGTTTGAAGAGGGCATATTGTTTAAGAGTACAAGAAAATATCCATACCTCCCCCATGGAGGGAAATTGGTATTTCCAAAAAGGGGGTGGGGGTGGGGGAGGAGGGGAGGGATTGAGGAGAAGATTGTGGTAAAGGTATTCAACATTTCTGCATTTTAGTAATATCATTGGGGGATGGGGAGGGTCTGAGAAGGATATATTATGCAGTTCCAAAAAATATCCATACCTCCCCCATGGAGGGGGATTGAAATTTCCAAGGGATGGGGAGGGTCTGAGGAGGGTGTATATTGTAGTACCATAAAATATCCATACCTCCCCCATGGAGGGGGATTGGAATTTCCAAGAAGGGGGGTGGTGGGGGAGGGGGGAGGGACTGGGAGGAGTATATTTGTCCTCTGTGATAAAGGTTATATTCAACATTTCCACATTTTCATAATATCATTGGCTGAAAAATTCATTCCTACGTTGAAGCAGTAGCATGATCCTCTGAGATGTTCAGCTCCTGTGTTAGAAACTTCCGGTCGATAGGGTCTCTTGGTTGTCCAGTTTCTAATGGGAATAAGAAAATGAAATTGAAGGGGACACTTATATGAGAGGTCTACAGTCACCCCTTACGTCAACGCTGCTCAATTTGGAGGACAAAACGAGAGAATTTCAATCTCCTGAGAATTGGAAACCTATCATATTGCTATGTCTTCAAAATTGAGCTGTATTACAAATCAAGATGAAAAATGTATTGAATGGATTTCCTATAGATTTCCACAATATTACTTTTGTTCGCAATGCCCATTGAGCTGTAGTAAATAGTTTGGGCTTCATAAGGTACTGGTAAAGAACAGTTTCAATCTCTCTCGGTTTTTGCCAACACAGGTAGACCATTACTAAAGGTTTAGACAACACATCTAGCGCCATATAAAAGATGTCTGTAACAATGCAGCTATAGTTATTGAAACTAAGACTGAATACGAAGGAGACTCAGCTTATAACCTGTTAAAAATACAGACTGAGTGTATTTATATTTGTTGAACTCCAGGTATTCTCTGATCAGCTCATTGATAAGCATGTTTTCATTGGATAGTGTGGGTCTTGGTTCTGTCTGAAAGAAAATATATATATTTATTATATTATTACCAATGAAATATCTGTTTTTCTCTATTTCGAAAAATTGATATCTTCACACGTGAAAATAACATGTTATTTTCACGTGTGAAAATAACACCATTGCGATGGCTATTCAAAAATACACGGAAAGAATTGTTTGAAAAAGCCAAAACATACTTCATTGATAATTTTTTAATAAACAGAATATTACATGGCCGCTTGGAGATACGAAATTTATCTTCTCATGTTGAAAATCTCTCACTTGTTCACTACGCTCACTCGTGAGAGATCTTTTCAACACTTGAAGATAAAATTCGTATCTCCACGCGCCCTCTATATAAGCCTTTTATTCATCCTCACCGTTGGCTTCAAAGCACATGAAACTTTATATTCAAGCCTAAAATTATACTACAAGCTTTTATTATATGACCGTGAATCTTAGAGCCTGGACACTAGCAAATCGAGCAATCTGATTGGATAGATCRCATTGCGGACTGGTCTAGATTCTCCGGTATTAACCAGTCCGATCGCATATTAATCTTACGGCGAAAACATTTTGTCCTTTTCAATGAAAAGTGGTCACATAATAAAACTCTTATCAACCAAGCTTGGTTGGTCTGCTCGGGATAATCTTGACCTTGGTGGGGTACAGACCTCAGCCTGTACATTCCATCCTCGGTCAAGATTATCCCGTACAGACCTCCCGCTCGGTTAATAAGATCTAAATATCAGCCTGTACATGTATGAAAAATATGTTGATTTCTATTTTTAAGTTACATTCAATATTGAATCTCACCTGATCATCTAGGGCGTTAAAAACTTCAGCTCTGATCCGTGCTCGTATTTGACCAAGTACCCCTTGGTTTTCAAGGGTTTCTTTGAGAACTATTTTTATCATTTGTAAAAGGAAAGGAATGGTTAGGTATACGTATATACTATCAGCATCAATGAAGGTCTTAGAATAGTCTATGACTATCATTATAGTCACGATCGTCACCACCCCTATAATCATCGTCATCGCTACCACCATTGCCACTCCATCACCACCATCACCACCACCATCACTGTCATCTCCATTGCCATCACCACCATCATCATCATCATCACTACCATCATTGCCACTCCATCACCACCATCACCATCATCACCATCACCACCATCACCATCACCACCATCACCATCACCATCGCTACCATCATTGCCACTCTATCACCACCATTACCATCATCATCATCACTGTCATCTCCATTGCCATCACCACCATCACCATCATCACCTTCACCACCATCATCACCACTATCACCATCACCATCACCATCGTCATCATCACCATCATCACTGTCATCTCCATTGCCATCACCATCATCACCGTCACCACCATTGCTATCATCATTATCATCGTCATCATCATCATCACCAACATCGACCACTATCACCATCATCACCATCATCACCA